GTATAGGCCTAGGCCTATAGTGTATAATAAAATAGAGACACTTACTAAAACATATCCCATATACCATAAGTTGACAAGTTGCTCTGAGATTGCCAGTGTGAGAACATCACTGACCGTGGAGCTATCACTTGACACGGGTTTGGTAGTTGGCTAGAAGCCCAGCCAGTTGGCTAGGGTTTACCTATGACTAGGCCTAGCCCTGTCTCTTATACACATCTAGATGTGTATAAGAGACAGGTGTTTAATTACGGTCAGTTCATATCAGGGTGTTGTGTGGATGTGTCTCCTGTGAGTGAATAAAGATGACTACTGCCCTCACTCAGCTTTGGCGTCTGCCATTTATGTGGAGGTATGGTTGTAATATTTGCATTGATATTTTACATTATAAATCATTAAAAAAGAAAAATAAACGCTGATTATGGGCGGTATGCGGTGGCATGCTGTGGTATGTGGTGGCATGCGGTGGTATTCGCCTTTTAGTGAGACCGGTTTTTTTATATAATTTTTATAGATTTTTAAGTCTTTTAATATAGTTTTAATATATTTTTTATAGTTTTTATAAATTTTTTATAGTTTTTTTAATAAATTTTTTAATATAGTTTTAATAGATTTTTAATAGAGTTTTAATAGATTTTTAATAGACTTTTTATAGTGGGCTTCTATAGTTATTTCTATAGAATTTTCTATAGATTTTCTAAACAATTATGCTATAGACATTCTATAGTTTTTTTGGATAGAATTCTATAGATTTTTTTTTGTATGGGATAGCTTTTTTTGCAAAAATGCATTAAGAGAAGTATGGAGGTGATAGTTGCTCATGAAGAAATTCAGCTTGCCATCAGAGTTGCAATCTGTACGTGATAATCATGAAAAGGAATTCGCTGATATATTCAAAAACTCTTGAGTCAATGGCTAATTACGCAGGTACTGAAATTGCTGTTAAACTGCGATGTGCACGGCAGAGCATGAGAGAGAACTATGAAGGAACACCATTAGTATACTGGCGACGGGCCGTTTTCATTCCATACCTCTTGATAGCCTTCTTCACCAATTGCAAATCAAGGTTTTCATCAATGAACGTCCATGCTATTCGTGCCTTACATATAATACCAGCAAACATAACATGTCCCAGCGAAAAACAAGAGCAGATATTTGACTATTACAAAGACGACATGCCTGACCATGAGTTATAATCAAGAGATCCGACTGTGGAAAAGAATGTGGCCGGATAGAGAAGACTTTCCTTCGACGCCTAGCACAACACTGGATGCCACCAATTCTGGCCTGTTTCCAATCTTCACTACAATCTTAAAGTTGGTGATTTTAATACCGGTAACTGCAGCAGCAGTTGAAAGAGCTCATTCCTTATTAAAATACGTAAAGACCTGGAAGCGAACAACCATGAATGAGGAGCGATTAAATGCACTGATGCTCCTATACATTCACAAAGATATCTCCGTAAAGTATAAAAAAGATCGTTGACGCCTACGCCACAAAACACCCACAAAAAATGCTTCTTGTTAATCCAATGGAGTGAAAAGATTAATAGTTCAACACTTGTTCAATCATTATGTTGGGTACCCATCATAATAAAGTTGTTTTTCTATACACAATGTGTTCATGAAAATTATTGAATCGAAGTCAGTAAGAAATAAGTGAATGATTTGAATTAATTATTAGAGCTAATAGATAGATATACAGTAAACAGCCAATAATACCAACAGAATCATGGTGTTGGGGACCTGTAACATAAATACCCGTCTTAAAATGTAGGGCTTAGGTCACTAAGTATAACCATTATTTTTCATAGCAATTCTTTTGTACCAGATCAATTTTATTATTATTATTATTATTATTATTATTATTATTATTATTATTATTATTTTTATTATTATTATTATTATTGATAATATTCTTATTATTATTCTTATTATTGTTATTATTATTCTTATTCTTATTATTATTAATATTATTATTATTATTAATGCCATGCATGATAATGTTAAAGCTAAGGTTAGAGTGGGAAATGATCTTACAGACCACTTTTGTATTGAAAAGGGTGTAAAACAGGGGCGTGTCTTATCCCCAATACTATTTTGTATTTTTATAAATGAATTTGTAAAAATTATTCGAGACAATGGTATTGGGGTTAAAATGAATGGCTTATGGATGGAAGGCCTCTTTTGACGTCGTTTTATTGGGAAATAATGAACATGAAATGATAAAAATGTTACATATTGCAGGGAAGTATGCAAAGGAGTGGAAGCTAAGTTTTAACTATAAAACATCTAATGTGATGGTCGCTGGAGAGCACATTAACCGAGAAAAACAATGGAAAATTGGTGACAAATTCATAAAAGTGGTAGATTGCTATAAATATTTGGGAGTGATAATTTCCTCAAATCAAAAGGAGCATAACCACTACCAACATGTCATTCAAAAAGGAAACCGTTTAATTTCGTATATCAAAGGTGTAATTGGAAACCTTGATAATTTTAATAGGGTCTATTACGGCAGCATTCTTTGGAAGACAATAGCGCTTCCCTCAATTAATTATGCATGTTGAGTCTGGCATAGCAATTCAAAAAAAAGATAATAATGACTTAGAAAAACTACAGTTAAAAAATGGCCAGATTTCTACTTAAAGCTCCTCGTTGTACACCGCAAGAAGCTCTATATGCCTATGGTGATTTAGGCTGGGCCCCATTGTCAAAAACGCATGAAATTACTAAAATTAAATTCCTTAACCGTGTAATACATATGAATAAAAATCGGTAGCCAAATACTCTACTTCATTGCATGCTTCAACTGAAATCATCCAATTTTAATGTGTTAAATTACACATTTCTTGATTCGTGTAAGAATATACTTGATAAATGTACAGATTTAAATATGTTTGAACAAGTTTCTGATTGAGATAATTTCACTTTTAATTCTTTTCCTGTTAAAACTGTAAATACACATGTTGCAGACTCATACAACGTTGAGTGGGAAAACCAAATTAACCAAAAGCCTTCTCTTAAAAATTACTCAAAATTGAAATCTACACAAAGCCTCGAAAAATATCTGCTTGATAAAAGTAACTTTATGGGGGTAAGTCTAAAATTTAAAGTCAGGTCCAACACATTACTCCTTGATGGCAAGACCTGCAAATGGTCTAAAGAAATTACTGGTCAGTGTACCTTGTGCCAAAGTGGCGAAACCGAAGATATTCGTCACTTTTTATTTAACTGTAAATCATTTGATACAATCAGAGAGGCAGAATTAGCTATCTTAAAACAAGACCTTGAACTTTGCAATGAGACTGCAACTTGCAATAATTTTTCCGAATATAATATTGATGATAAAATTCATTTTGTTCTTGGGGGAAAAATAATCTCTTTAATGACTGTCTCTTATACACATCTAGATGTGTACAAGAGACAGCTCATTAGTATTCATTGAGATAATTAGATGTCCTATTTAGTCGATTTAAAAACAGGTTGAAATGCATTGTTGCTTGAGTAATGCATATAATTTTTTTTTTTTTTTAATTGAATTTCTTTTATATACTTTTATAACCACATACATATATACATACATACATACAGATATACACACATACACACACATAAATACATGGGTCTAGGACTGTTGCCACCCGGCCTGTTGCCACCCGGCCTTTTGCCACCCTAGGCCCACCTGGCATTTTGCCACCTAGGCCCGTTGCCACCCGGCCTTTTGCTACCCGGCCCGTTGCCACCATAGGCCCTTTGCCACCATGGCCCTTTGCTACCCAGAATGGTTCATTGCCACCGTAGGCCCGTTGCCACCCGGCCCGTTGCCACCCATTGTATAGTAGGCTTATGCATTGTATTCGCAGAAATTTTACTCTCGGCATTTTTGTGTACTGAATGATGAATGGACTGACTATTTATTTGGCAGATTGTAAACAACGACAATTAGTTGCAGTTAAACATCATGACATACATACATACACATATATACACATATACACACACATA